AAGCCCCAGCTCCGTATAGAGTAGTCACTGTAGTCTATGTTGTAGCTCTCAGACGGGATCCATCCTGTGAAATATTTCCATCTAGTCTATAGTTTTGTTGTGTTTTGTTTTCTGGAGGAGGCAAAACAACTGTTTTAGTAGTGGGTGCTTCCTACAAATGGAAGACATTCTCCAGGGGAGGGCTGGGCAGAGCAATAGGTGCTGCTGTGGCTAAGTGCATGGGGTACCACTTCCCGCTGCAACAGAGGTAGCCTCTCCCAGTAGCAGCTGACACCATCCTCATCCCATATGTGGGTGGCAGGAGTATCAGATGAGCTCTCTGTGCTGAGTTAAAATGGTGCTCTTAGTTACTGCTCACTGAGAGCAGGAGAAAAGGATGCTGCTTTGTGACTCAGCATGGACCACCTGATGTATGGATTGTGTGGAGAAAAATGATAAACAGAATAGATGCTAAGCTGCTGCATGTGAATTGGATAAGGTGGGCACAGAAGACATCAATGATCCAAACATTTTAAATTTTTAAGGCTGTGAAGATGATCCAGCTGTGGTGCTAAGTATCTTCTTAACATTGTCTGAAAAGTCGAAGCTGGAAGTTTAAAAGGTGGAGATGCAGCAGCATTCTTAACACAGTTAATGGAAAAATATTAAGGGAAACAAATGAGGCACTGTCCACAGGTCTTGTGAAAAAAAAGTTATAGGTAGTTGAGGGCTGGCAAAACTGCAGTGATATCTACTTTCCAGCACTTGTTCCTTTTCTTTAGCAAGTGAAGCAACTCTGGATAGTTCTTCCCTCTTTATTCTTGATTGTGTGCTTCCCTGTGTTTCTGTGGCTATGCAGTGGTTTGGATGAGGGAAAACTCATATTTTGGTTTACGGATCAGATAATTTTTGTTTGGGACTCGCCTCCTGGTCTAATTTGCTACAGCAAAGGGAGTGTGCAGCTTCTGTTGGGGACCTCTACCTCCACAGGTACTGTTGATGAAACTAGAACCTGAGTCCATAATACATGATTAGTTGCTCAGACCATGATTTAGTAAACGTCATTTGCTCTTCCTTTGTAACATCTACTTAGTTTTGCTAGGGCAAGTGTTTGCAAGTTTGCACGGCAAGGAATAATGGAATTGACTGGAGTTTAAAATAACCATTTGTTTCTTAGGTTTTTTTGTAAACTACATTAGGTACTCAAGCCACCACGCGGCCCTACAGATAAAGTACTGTCACAACAGAATGGATGTGTTAGGACTAGGAATGAGAGGCTGTCCATGTTGGCAGTGTTGTAGAAGACTTATTTGTCAAACGATGGCTTTGATTACTTAAATTTAATATCCATTTAAAAAAGTACAGATCAAGCTGATATAACAGTTGGAAGCGTTGCTTCTCTAAGTGGTGTGTGTATAGATGTTACGATGTCCATTTTTTTTCATAGGCATGCAAAATTTTACATGCATGAGTGCTAGATTAAAGATATTTAAAAACTTTAAAATGGAGAGATATTCAATGGTCTGTTTCATGGCATTTAATTTAGGTCAAGGCACTGAAAACATACTTGCTACCAGTTCTTGATCATGCTGACTGCAAATGTTCTGAGAACTGAAGGGCTTCAAGGACCCTGGTTAATATCCTTAAGTATTCACTGTAACGAGTCTTCATTTTGTTATAATGAACATAGCAGAATATGTTTCTCTTTTTTTTTCAATATTCTACATAGAAACAGTATTCCATAGGTTACTGAAACTAGCGTTGAGAGGCTATCAGTTTGATTAAGGCCAGATTAGTATTTTTATCTTTCACTAGAGAATTTTGGTAGATGTGGATATTGAAAAAACTTTTTGCCTGCCTTACAGTCAGGCATGAAGCATATTGGCTGGTATTTTGTTGTTCTGAAGATCAGAGTATCAGACCTTAGTTTGATGAGGGTTATGTTTGAATTTGGTTTACTGATAACTTGAAATCATTATCTTATTTGCAGGAATATCTTTAGTTACATAGTTACACACTCAGATAGTTACCAGTGTACCATTTAGTTGTCTAAATCTGTTGCTAGGTTTGAGCATGGCAACAGTTGTAAGCAATATAATTTGATGGCTATCGGAAATATACATGGGGAGCTTTTTACACAGGAGCATATGATAAGTTACCATCTCTGGAAGTCTGCTTTCCAAATTGAAAGTTAGATTTCATACTAAACACAACTTACTGTTTAAAGTTATATTTTAACTGACATTTATTATTACATCTCCACAGGGGAACTTTAGATTTGCTATAAGTATTCCAGACTGGTTCCTAGTCATTGTGTGAGACCCAAGTTTTTACCTCTTCAAGGTTTTTAGGGTAAACTTAATTGTTTTAAAATGCTGTCATTAATTAATTTTGTTGTTGTTGTTGTGAAATGGCTTGACAACAGTGGGTTCAAACAGTCATTTTAATTTGAAAATTCAACATATTCTGCATCTTTCAGTATACAGGGAGAAAGTTCAAAGTTTAATTTTGCTGTGCCAAGCATGAGTGGAGTTTGCTTCACAGAATTTTGGGTTCTGTATAAAGGCATGCAGAGCAAATCATAGTTGTTCAGGTTATCAGCCAAATACAGAAACTAGACCTCTCAATCAAAAGGGTTTGTGTGCTAGTAACAGTTCCAAATGTGTTTATAGGATTGTTGTTTTACGAAATTTTTAATGTGTTTGAACATTGAGAAGCCAGTTCCTTGTTGGTTTGAATGGGTGTGAATGGGGGTGACTTGAATTTGCCTATTAGGTTATATCAGTGGAAGGACTAGCTCTGAACACATATTCATATTTGTGCTTCTTTAAGCAGTAAAACCATGGTAGAGGCTCATAATTTCTAAAATGATAGATTGTTTTCCTTTTGTTCTCGACACTTGGGCTATTAATGAAAAAAATATTGGGTTTGCTGGCTTCTACTCAGGTCAACTGGATGTACAGTGTGCTAATGTAAATCGGCAGTTTCTGCTTCTATAAATAGACTTTGTCAGCAGCTGCAAAGCAAAACTGACAAGCTTCTGGTCATTTTTATTATTGCCATTCAGAAATAGTTTGAATAGCTGTGAAAGTGTCTGGTGGTATATATGCCTGCTGTAGTGATATTTGCAGACTGAGCTGAGGTTATGAGTAGGGAGAGGGAAAGAAAGAGTGTATTTGTAAGCCAGCAGTGTGAGAGTAGAGGCAAAGAGCTCTGTGTTCCTTCATTAGGGAGTCCTTAAGCTGAGTTTGAAGCTCTTTTATATAAAAGACATGCTGTCCGGCTGGCTAAAAGTCGTGAGTTCTTAAATGGGGTCTGGGGATAGCATTTGCCTAACTTCTTTATAGCTGGATATAAGGCAGCCTTTACAAGTTTGCTCTGTTGGGCAACATCATCATACTGTGCCCTGAGAAGCTGTCTCTTAAAATTTTCAATTCCTTCTGCTGCTGGGTCTGGTTTTGTCTGCTGCATGGGAAAGAAACAGCTAGGCAAGAATGCTTACATTCTACAGCATTCCTCCCCCTCCTTCACCATCGTGGGAGCTCTTGTATGGCTGAACAGCAACTGCTGCTGTCCTCCTTTCTAGAAGCAGACTAGGAAGTGGTACCAGTGTGGCCTGCAAAAAGGAATGCTGACAGGCCAACCGAGTCATCATTGTTGTTTGTGGACAGAGGAAAGGTTGCCAGGAAAGAAAAAATACTGAATATCTTTCATGTGAGCTTTTAATTGAAGTCCTGTGTCTGTGTTTACATGTGTGGGTGGTTTTTTTTTTCTTGAAAGGTAGCAGTCTTCTTTTAAGGGTCTTACTACAACATCTCAGGAAATACCTTTGGCTGTAAGAATTATTTTCCTGAAATAGATATGTCCTTACTTTCAGTGTTTCCCAAAGTACATATAATAAAATGGATGGTAGATTCAGCTTGTGCTGAAAGATATGGAATGATTTTATATTCCCCCTCTAATAAAAGCACATTTCTTGAATCTTGATACCCTACCTCTGTGAAAAATATATAAAGAAAAGGAAATTATGAAATACAGTATTATAATGGCAGGTGGGAGTAGAGAACATTTGTCAACTGTTGCTTTAGAAACAGCACCATCAGCCTGTGAGGTGGCTAAAGATCACCTAAAAGTGAAATTCAGGGTATTCCAAAGCCTTGGAAGCTGGAAAGTTTCTTAGCATCTTAATTGTATGTTTTACCAGTGCTTTAATCTGTATTCTTTGTACTGAATTAGATCTTGGTGATGTTAACTATTGTTCAAGGACAAACACAGAACCCTGACAACTAGACTTTTGGCTTATTATTTTTAATGTTGTTTGAAATGTATGTATGTTTTAAAACTTCTAATGGATGTCTTCTGGCTTGATAGCCTTGATATTTTTAGGTCCTCTACTACTAGAAAAATGGATCATACTAATTCTTCATAGAAGAAAATACTGACTGTGAAAAAGCACAAAATACGTTTAAAAAGAAAACATGGACTTGTTATTTTAAAAAATGAGTCCTCTCATTTTATTCAGCTACTATTTTAAGGGAGTAATTATAGTTCATTCACTGTGAACGACCATTTGTGACAATAATGAGGTCCAAATAATTGGGAGAGATGAGGAATATGGTATTTGGCAGATCCTTGCAGGCTGTTATGAGATCTAATTGAAGTACAAAGTTTAGAAGAGCTAAATAGTTCTAAATAATGCAAAGTTTAGCAGAACTAAAGAATAAGTATCTCAGAGTGTTTTTAAAGTTTATGGCTAAATACTGTATAAAAAGTTGCACTTTAAGTATTTCAAGAAAAGATGACCATGTTGTATACTAGCTTAATTCCTTTTATAAAGTATAGAAGCTCTTAAAACACAAAGTATCTTTTGTGGAATGAATGGAAAGCGGGAAAAATGGTAACTTTGATGTAGAATTAGTTTGACTTGTGTAATTCTTTGTGCTTTAAAGACAGGCCAAAGACATTCCAAGAATCTTTGTGTGAGAGACTTTAGTAAATAAACCTTTTATTTCTGCTTCTAGTCAGCAGATAAGCAGCGAGCCCTGGAAGAAACCAAAGCCTACACAACTCAGTCATTAGCAAGCGTAGCCTATCTGATCAACACTTTGGCCAACAATGTTCTCCAAATGCTGGATATCCAGGCATCCCAACTTCGACGCATGGAGTCTTCAATCAACCATATTTCACAAGTGAGACTTTTTTCCTGATTTGTTCTTGAAATTACATAGCAAGTAAAACTCTCACCTGACATTTTGTGAATGAGAAATATAGTTGCATTTAAAACAGAAGGATGCATTTCTTCTCATAGTAATTCTGGGAATGGGTGTCATTGTGTGATCTTGTATCTCTGTTAGTGTAAGCATTTTACATGGGAAAAGAGGTTAAATGTATTCTTGGCCAGTTTATTGTTTGGAGAGTGGGCCATTCTACTTAAGTGAAAAGCACAGAAAAATTGGTAATTGAAAAATCAGTATATTATGTTAAGGGACAGATTAAGCTTTCCAACTCCTGTTTGGTGACTTACTGCACTTAGTATTTATTGGCTACAGGCACTTAAAATTAAAAGAAAGAAATATGAAATGGATGGTGGAAAACAATACGTGTCATCTTTTTAATTTTCCTGTTGCTGTAATACTGGCATCTAATGACAAAAGCATAGATGACAAGAATACTTTGTTCCTGGCTTTTCTTAATAAAATGTACTTTGCAATGACATGAACAGAAGGCAAAATTAATGTTTCAGGTTTGTGCATGGCTGGAGAACTCCTGCCATTGTTTGCAGTTTTTCTGAGCAGCAATAAACTAAGCTACTATTATCAGGAACCCATGTCCCATCACCACACTGATGATGAGAGAATTTTGACTGCCAGAGTGGGCTGAGGATGGATGATAGATTTAGTGGAGGTTTACATGCCAATGACAGATTAAAAGAGAAATTAAGAGTAATGATACAGGGCTTTCTGTTTTTCTGTTACTGGAGAGTTGATTGGCATCCTTACTGAATATTTTGTGTCTTATTTGATCGATAGATTTTGGCTGCTAGGGTTTCTTGATTTCCATGTGATAATGTCATAAATTAAAATAAAGGATATTGTGGTATTTAGAAAGACATCTGAAAGTAGGAGCTGTGTAAGGTAGGAAATAAGCAGATTGAGCTGGTCTGTTAACTTGCTCGTGCTGAAAGGGTTGCTAAGCTAGTAGACGTTTGAACCAGCAAAAGAAGTGAATAATTTTATGCTAGCTTAATGGGCTGAATTGGCTCAGTGAGGGGTCAGATGAATTCCAGAGCAGGTACAAAGGAAGGGGTGGGAAGAATTTTCCCTTCTGGTAGTAGTACGCCATTAGATTGCCTCAGTTATCTCATTCAACTGCATCCTCAAAAACAAGCTGAGAAGTTTGATTTCTTCTGCTGCATGCTTCATGCTTCTTGTTAATCCATGGACAAGTCAATTCATTTTTTTTTCCAGAAAATGTCACAGATTACTCTGTGTGTGTGTATGTATATGTGCCATATATATGCTCTGTGTGTGTATATATGTGTGTGTGTGCTTGTGTGTATATGTATATGTGCCATATATATGCTCTGTGTGTGTATATATGTGTGTGTGTGCTTGTGTGTATATGTATGTGCTTCTTGACAGGCTAGTGCCAGCTGACAAGTATTTCAACTATTTAAGAGCTCAACGCAAAAGACTGTATGTGAATAAAATTATTCGGATTCATTGGATTTTGTATTTTATAGATGTAGAAAGTTCATTTTGTCACACAGTTTCTGTAAAGTAGCTTTTTGGGGAAAGGGCCATAGCATTTTGATTTTTTTTCCTTCTGAGAAGCTGAGATTTATGCAGATTGAGATGCTAGGTTAGATTGTCTTTGGCATTTATACAAAATGGCTAGTTATTTAAAATGGAGCACAAAATTACCAGCGCCCAACACCTAATGAAGATGTATCTGCCAAAATTCATAGGCTGCACTTGAACAACCAAAAGAAGTTAGGTTTGGGGTTTTTTTTAATATTGCTGTAAAATTGAAAATTGAGTGTGTTTTTCTGTTTTGTTTTGGGTTTTTTTTGAGTCTGCATCATCCATATGTAGGATGCTCCCAAATCTTCATGGAAGAAATGATATCAGAGGAGCAGACAGTATTTGAATTTTGGATATTACATACAGGAAGTGTGTTGATCCGAGGGACTTTATTAAGTTGAATTCAGTATGTTCAGAAATGGCTTCATCCCATGATACCAATGTTGTAGATGGTTATATAATCTGTCTTAATTTCAGTGGTTATTTTTCTTTTAAAAATGAATTTATTTTGTCATAGTTTCTGTGTAATAAATAATTTCTTCTCAGGAAATTTGATTATGCTTCTGGAACAAGCCTAACCTGCAGAAGACTTCCTGGGTCTTTTTTATGTTGGGTGTAAAGTTTAGTGGACTTTTTCTAGTACCGCTTAAAATGCCTCATGGTGCAATACCTCATTGCCAAGTTATGATTTCAGTCAGTCTGACTTGAAATGATGTCAGTAACGTAGAACAGAAAACATGTTGGTAATTACCATCTGCTCGCAGTGCATTAATGCTTTGGTCAGTAGGTATTGATATTTAAGTTTAGAAGACACTAATGCAAATTATGATCTCTGGATGTGTAATTCTGCTTTTAATTCTGATTTGGAATTTCACATATTCTCCAAAGAAGGGAGCAAAATCATTTGGCTTTTAGTAAGAAAACTTTTTCAAAAGTGCTTGTCTTGTTGAAGTGTAGCTCAAACTGAAAGAGATGTGATTAACTTTAGAAGATAAAATATTCTAGTTCTCTGTTCATTGATAGAATGCCAGTTTATGTCACTTTGTATGTTTCTTTCTAAATGCCAACTTAATGAAAGAGCTGAAAAGGAAGCTGATAATCATTTGTGGTTTTTCAGATTATATATAGGTCCTGAATAAGGAAATCATTACCATTGAAATTATTTTTATGCAAGTGATTAAGTGCTATTGGTTTAAAATTTAGGATTACTTTGATTTGGTCTGAAAGCTGATGAATCTGTTCTTATTTGCCTTCTTGAACCTTGTCCAGAACTAGATGATATGCAGTGTTTCATATTTGGCTTAAAATCTAAATCCTAAATACAGATCATCTGTATAAATATTTATACTTGTTAAAAAAACTGTGTTACAGTTTTCAAGTTAGCAGACACTGTGAAATGTTGCTAATGTCCAAATTCTTTAATTTAATATGGCAGATTGTCAGGTTTTAGCGTTTGTATGGTGAGAAATGTTTTTTCAGGTTTAGTTATAAAATACTCTTAGATAGCAAGGTCATCTTTAAAACTCTTCTCTGCTGCTAATTATATAAACAAGCATGTTAACATAAAGGTGAGTGATAGTGATGAGTTATCTCCAATGTCACTGCACGATGGAGAAATCTGCTTCATCTTCTTCTTGCAGAATCTGACTCCCATGATACCGGCTGTGAGAACAGGTATTGAGCAGACCACAGACTTAAACTTCTCTGTAGTCAGCATGTGTTGCTTAGCTGAACTGTAGCAATATGGGTGAGCTGGTTGGTCTCTGCAGGGAAGTTCACTTGGACTTTCCATTGATAAGTTAGTAAAGGCTTGTAACCATTTTCAGTTGTGTTATTCTTGCAAGTTACAAGAATATCCAAACTCTTTCCAAAATGGTAATGCAAGTCTAATTTTCCACAGTATATCATACCTGTTCATGGAGCAAGTAGCTTTTCAGCATTTTTGTATCATGACCTCTTTCTTTGTGTGTAAGTTCCATACAACTTGAGTTGAGGCAATTAATGTTACATTTCTAACATGTCAGAACTAGACAATTACTCATTTTAAAGTAATAATCCATTTCTCAGGGTAATTTGCAACTAGTTTGTTTAAATTCTATCAAATAAGCTTAAAAAAAAAAAAAAGCCCAGCAACACTAAATTTAAGCGACATTTTCTTCTAAGATTTTTTTAAACTTCATTTTAAAAGCCCAGACTAACAGACTGCCAATAAATCGATAAATTTAAATTGGAATGTTTTGAGGAGAAGAAGAAGAAGAAGAAATCGAGACTTCTGGAGACTTTTATTTCTGAAATTTCACTACAGTTTAGACTTTCAAAGTGCTGTTGTGGTTTAACCCTGGCCAGCAATTAAGTACCATGCAGCTGCTTGCTCGCTCCCCCCCCAGCAGGTTGTGAGGAGAGAATCAGAAGAGTAAAAGTGAGAAAAATCGTGGTTTGAGATAAAAACAGTTTAATAACTGAAATATAATAATAATAATGATGATGATGATGGTGATGATAATGAATTGTAATGAAAAGGAAAATAACAGAAAGAATTAAAACCCAAGAAAGAGAAGTGATGCAAATGAAAACAATTGCTTACCACCAACTGACCAATGCCCAGCCAGTCCCTGAGCAGCGGCCCTTCTGCCAACCTCCCCCCAGCTTTATATTGCTGAGCATGACATTGTATGGTCTGGAATATCTCTTTGGGCAGTTGGGGTCAGCTGTCCCCCCTCCCAACTTCTTGTGCACCCCCAGCCTCCTCGCTGGTGGGATGGCGTGAGGAGCAGAAAAGGCCTTGATCCTGTGTAAAGCACTGCTCAGCAGTAAGGAAAACATCTCGGTATTACCAACACTGCTTTCAGCACAAATCCAAAACATAGCCCCATAGCAGCTACTATGAAAAAAATTAACTCTACACCAGCCCAAACCAGCAGAAGTACTAATTTAATACTTTGAGAAATTTCACTTCCAGGTAGAAGAAAATATTTCTCAAAACTCCGAGTTCAGTGACTTTTAAGTGAAGTGGTAAATAGTGTTAACTTTGGAATCCCAGAAATGATTTAATGTTTTTTCTATTTTAATCTTTACAGATCTTGAGGCTGTTTTTATTGAATTCAGTATGGAAACTTGATTTTTCAAAATGGCCAGAAAATTCCTAATAGGAAAAAATGCAGTGGTTTATACCTTTTTGTTTTTTTTCCCCTTAAGCTATCCCTTGGCTTATTGCAGGCATCTTGGAAAGCATATGAAAAGATGATAGTAATGAACCTAACGTCTAACAAACTGTCATTTAAAAGCTTTTGCCAAAGGTAATGGAGCTATGGAGGAAAAAAAAGCGTAGTAATGCTGTCAGGAGTCTGAAATTTCTTGTTAGAAAACAGTGTTTTAAGTTACAGAAGGGCACAGTGCATCTCATCTGCTTTTCCTGACAGACTCTCCAAGTCAGGTGTTTTGTTAGTCCAGCTCTAACCCCAAAAACTTCTCAGTAGAAGTTTCTAAACTGCTGAATAAACATTCTGCTAGAATTCTTCTGTCTCACTTAAGGGATTTATGATAGATAGTACTAGAAGCAATAATTACCTGTGTGTTGGGGATAAGTATAGTAGCAGGTTAATCTTTGTTCCTTTCTCTACTAATCAAATACCACAGTGTTCCTTTCTGCTGTTTTATAGGTGTCTTAAGATCTTATGACTCCAGTAGTCTACTAAGCAAGAAAATGAAATTTTTGAAAAACTTGCCAGCAAAATGCTTTTCAATACAATTTTAGGAGTATATACCATAATTAGGTGCTGGTTTTATACTCTTAGTCATTCCATAGCTATTCAAGGTAAAAAAGATGTTCTGAGTCATCATGCAAGAGAATTCCCATTAGATGACCTTCAGGTTTTAATTAGGTTTTATGCATTTCATTGTTTGTTACTGTAGTCATGCCTCACTGATCACCATAGTCCTTAAGGAAACCATTTGTACTCACAACTCCTATGAATAATTAAAAAACAACGCTTTTCATTCATAGAAACAAGTTTTCACAGTGCCAAGATACCATTGCTACAATAACGTGCATTAAGTATCTGTACTCACACTGTATTTACAGATAATTGCATAAGAAAATACTAAAAGAACATCTTTGAAGTTGCAGTGGTCAAGCACTTGAAATGGAGAGAAAGGAAGAAATCCTCTTGCCAACACTGCACTAATTACTTTACTTTCTTTCTGATTTGTAGATCAAAATTAAGGCTCTGAGAGCATAGTGTCCAAGGCATAAACTAGTTTTGAATGACCAGATTCAGACCCATAAGGTTCTGATGCTTCAGTACATTTGAAACATCATATAGCATTTGAGGTGCAGCTGAGGTTGTTCAACATTCTAGCAAATGGTATCAGAGGCCTGTGAGACAACATACAAGGGTCAGTGTAATGTTTCTGCAGTTCTCTAGTGACATGTCTAGATCACAGATGAAGTCTGAGATAATCGTAGAGATTGAATTTCTCAGTGGTATTAAACATGAGACTGTCCTCCAAGTTGTTGCAGTCACATACCATTCGCTTGTCAAGAAAGTACGTGCTTTCTAACTCCTCAAGAGATGAGGTGAGGATTCTATAGACGGTCTCTTTGGTCTGACAGCTGCTTGTTCCACAACTTCTCCTTCCACTATGCTGCAAAAGCACAGGTCTGGCACAGAGAAGGGATAAAAACCTGTGATGGAATATAAAATATTGAATCTTATCCTGATGCAGAATGGTACGCTTTTGGTACTCTGGCCTGGAACATGTTTATGTGCTCTGTTTGGACTGGTGCTTGTACAATCAATAATATGGTAAGAGCTATGAAGATCTGATCTGCACTGTTGTATTGGGGGATGGTATATAGACCTGGTCATCACAGGGAACTTCAGGAAGGACTCTGGCAAAATTGGTTGGAGAGCGGTTTAGTTGTTTAGTAGTCGTAGAAGTATATGTGTTTCTGTTAAGCTTGTATGAACAGTGAATTTCTGCAGAGTTTATATATTGGCCAAATCTGGGTGAGTTTTTGTGAGGGTGATGGAGGATATGTCCTAGATAGTTTAACTACCCCTATTAAATTTCAAATCATTGCTCAATGAACTCAAGCTTTCCAAAGAGAGGGTTGCCAACAGATTTTGACCTTGAATAATCTATTTTTTCTATAGCTGTGTTTTAAGAAATAGCTGTGCAGCTTTAGTAGAAACCTTACAGTTCTAGGCAGGTGGTACCAGAGGTGGCAGAAATGTACATGACAAAGCCATTTTCAGTGTTTAATTTTAGCAAAGTTGCAAGATCTTGAAAATATGTTGCTGGAAAATACTAGGTAATCTTGATAGATAGTAATTTAAGCTTCCATATAATGCCCTTGGTATTTGTGGAAATTTTTCTCTGGAAAGAATGTGAAGAAACAACTTCTTGGAAGTGTTGGGGTTTTTTGGGTTTTTTTTGTTTGCTTTTTTAAAAATTTTTGTAGTTTTAAAGGTTGTGATGGTTGCACAAGGTAATACAGGGTCCATTTTGCTTGTTTTGCTATCAGTAGCACAAACAAAGGGGTAAAACAGTGTAACCAACCCCACTGCCCCAGTCCCTGCCCACAGAGAAATAAAATTTTAAAAATGTGTGTTCTGAAAAGGAGTTCTCATTTATACCTGTTCCTTAGTTACTGCAGAGCCTGTCTCCTAACTGTGAAAAGTCTGCCTGGTGCCACTTACGGTCACTAAAGTGGTAACAAGAAATCCTATGAATGTTTAGAAATCCTAATGGTGGTGATTCTGGCTGTTTTCTTACTTTTTTTTTAGCCTGTAGCTAAAATGTTTGTTCACAAATCTGGTCAATTTCCTATAAGGAAAGCTGTTTTGTGAGCAAGGAATTATTTTTGTTTTACATGATGCAAGCAACTCCGTCCACCATTATTTTAAGAGATTTTACTTTCCTGGAAAGGATACATAAACTTTTTGGTAACTTTTTCCTAGTCTTGTTACCAAACAAGATTCAAGTACATGTTTTTAGGCAACAAATTTTCAGCAGAGCTTTGTCTTACACTAGAGATTCTGCTGTGGTACTTGTTGTAATATGAGGAGGGAGGGATTTTCAGTGTTGGCCTTAGGCACTCTAAGTGAAGGCACTGGACTTAACCACTGACTTCATTGTGGATAAATTAGTACTGAGCACCTTCTAAAATCTAATCATTGCTTTGTGATGAGTGATTTGTAATGACTGAAATATTTTGTCCATTTGTCTGAGTGAAATTTTATTCTATCATATAACTAACTACCAGTCCTAGTTTAGCAAACTGTTTTACAGTGTAAGAAAACCCTGCTTATGGCTTGTTTTTCAGGTCATAAAAGTTAAGGTTTGGAAAGGTATCCTTACACTTCATCTAGTTGGAGGCTATTTCAAAGATGACCTTAGAAACCAACTGTAAAATTAAGAAAGCTAATTGAAGGAATCGTATAAAACAGTGTCAGTAAATTAATGGGAACTACTAAGAATAGAAAGGAGGAGGAATTTTGCTAAGTTGTAAAGAATGGGAGTAACAGAAAACCCAAAGAACCTGTAGCTATTAGTGTGGGTTTAGAGGTGGCAAGTTCAACAGTAAATTGAACAAAGACGATGTAATCAAATATATGTAGTGATATGTTTAGCACAGTATAAAGAGATCTTCGAAACATTGGAACTGATTCAAATTTTTTTTTTTTATACTGACTCTGTATTCAAATGCATACCACTGTTAGTAAATACACTGCGTCTTTTGTAGACGGTGGACATTCACAAAGAGAAAGTTGCTAGAAGAGAAATTGGTATCTTGACTACAAACAAAAACACCTCAAGAACTCACAAAATCATTGCACCAGCTAACTTGGAGCGACCAGTTCGCTACATCAGGAAACCTATTGATTATACAATTCTAGATGATATTGGACATGGAGTGAAGGTAGGTGATATTGTTAAAACAGCCAAACTGCAAATACATTGTCTTTGTATATTTTCAAAATAACCTGATGCTTTTCATGGTAATATACCAGTTTCTCCTTGCCTGGCCAGTGTGTGTATAAACGTAAGAGGAGTCCTGTCCAATTTGCAGTTGCCCCTTTCCCGTTCCCTTGCCCCGGTGTTTCTAAACTTTGCAAACTCACTGAATCTTATTTCTGAGGATATTCATGACTATGGGTTTCACTTTTTAAAATGCTTCTGAATACCTACTTGTGTGATGCTGCCATTATTGTTTGAATCAGTTGCCAGGGATATACCTGAGAACTGAAAGGCTAATGACAGTCACTTTTCTGCCTGAATTAGCACCACAAAGTATGATCTAGCTGTAATTGCCATTGGTTTACTTTGAAGCTCACCCAAATAAAGGGTTTGCATGAGAAGTATTATGTGCTCCCTTTTCTTCTTTCTGTCAGAGTCAGTTCTACCCATATCCTGTGGTGTGCTTTGTCTCTACAAATTTTGTGCCATATGGGGTTTCAGAATGGGAATATTGCTGCCAGGTTTGAAGTCAGCTGGTTCTCCCTTTTAAGACCAGGAAAAAGGAGGACTTTCAGGGCAAAGATCAGACTGAGACACAACTGGTGGCTGTTGTATGCAAGCATTAGATCAGTGTAGACAACAGCAGTAATATCATGTGCAAGATTAGATATGCATTTTTAAGAGCGCATCCTGAATGTAAACACAGTCTTAGCAGGTGTGAGCTCATTGTTAACTTGTGCCAGGAAAACAAATATGGAAATGAGAACACTGACAGTGTTAAAGTTCCAGGAGAAGAAAGGTAAATAACACAAAGCTGTGTCATTTTTACATGACAAACTAACAAATCTGTAAACCTGCTAAGTAGCAGTAAGGTAAGATGCTTCTTCCGGTGAAAGTACACCAGAATTTCTTTTGCTTGACAGCTAACTGCATTAGGTTATCTATGTAGTTCAATTTGAACTGTCTGCTTGGATAGCCTTTTAAATGGCAATAGCTTGTTTAAGCAAACAATTAAAATTCAAATTCTGAACAGTCCAATTTAAATCTTTCACAAGCAATTTTACTCAAAGTCTTCTCAACATCCTGTTCGTTAACAGAAAGTCTTTTTCCCCCATTTCTTACCAAAAGAGTTAACCTCAGTTTGTAGCTCTAAACAGATTTTAAAAAGACAAGTGACTCTAAGCTTGATTTGGAAAACCAAACCAAATCAAACCAAAAAACCCCAGCATTCATAACTACAGTTTTGACCAGGAAATTATTATCAGTCTTCTGTTAAAATCTACTGCCAATTTTTATAGATTTTGAATTTATGCAGGTCAGCAGAACTCCTTCTGGATATGGATGGAGCATATTAACCTGTAGGATTACTGTTGCTAATATTTTAATGATCACTTTTGTTTTAAGGAGATTATTTTAGAACTCATTAAAGAATAGTTTTTAATTGCTCTGCAGCACAATCGTACTTAGCACTGGCTCTAAACCACTGTAATTGGTATCCCACTTACCTCAATGTAGCATAATCGTACTCGCTGTGATGCAATGAATTACGTTCTTCTGAAAGAACATAGTTCATCAAATGGATGATGACTCAAATGTGTATTTGCATCCATTTGTTATGCTTATGATATGCTTGAAACATCTCACAAATTATATATATACAATGTACTATAACTAGAAAATGAAAAAGTATTGTGTACTTGTGAAACAATAAGCAGAGAACTTGAAATCATGCTATCCTTAAGATCCATAGATGTGTTCCAATCAGGTTAATCCTGTGTTCAGCACAGAAGAAAGAACCACTGTCTTGCTGATGGGGAGAAAGTGGCCAGTTGTGCTTATGAACCTGTTGTTTTTGTTCTGCTTAAGTAACTACAGATTAGCAGATTAGTTTACTAGCTCTCTGACTGGAGAACAAAGAAAAAAAGAAAAGGGATAGGAGCTTTAAATTTACCTATTTATAGCTCTTTATTGCTTGAGCTGTGGCATTTTTCCCTTCAAATGAGTATTCAGAAGGAGTTATTGCATAAATAATACTAAAGTTTCAGTTAGCAGCAGGATGCCTTAGTCTGCATTCTTTGTCCTTTTTCTGCTACAGGGCTTCCTCTCTAGTACCTGGACCCAGAATTATGCATTGTCAGGACAATCAAAGAGCTAATGCAGCAGGCATTCATTGCAGCCCCTGAGAAAGATGGCAAACTGGACAGAGAATAATACAGGAGATAATACAGGGAGCATCCTTGGCCAAGAAATCCAGTATGCCATGTTGAGAGAAGTAGTGTAAGTGCTTGAGTGCCTATTCCTTCCATTCAGAAATTCGAAGCATCAGTGAATGCCACCTTCAGGAAAAGGTGCTCTACAATATAGTTACTTAATAGGTGAGAGAGAATTTAAGTGCCACTATATCATTCCAGTAGTCTCTCCTCATCTCTCCCTGAAGCTACAATGCTGCAAAAATCTGAAGAACCTTTTGTCTGAAAGAGATTTGCTTTCAATTTTTTTCAAATTGAGTTTCCTGAGCTACAAAGTCTTCCAATCTGTTCTTCCCTCCAAAGAGTTCTTTAGTCAAGAGGATGAAAAAAAACCAACAAAAAAGCTTGATCCATTCAAAGTGGTGTGTATTAAAGGCACCGTAATTATCAGGCAGTGCTGCTGAAGAAAAGGTCTCTGCTCATGGACCCTCTAATGTAACTGTATGCAGCAGAGACTGTTTTGGTTAATAGATCTGTGGAACTTTAAACTCAAAGACAGGAGATTTTCTAGTAAATCAGATTATGTTTCTTTTTTAATACATTAGGGTCTCTTCTAAATGGTTGAAACAGAGTAGTCAGTCTGGTTGCTCCACTGTTGAGATTCTCCATATTTAATGTTTGGTGTTACAAAAAGTGTATGAAATGTAATGATATGTTTAGATTAGCTGAACTGAAAACAGATCAAATGATATTCAAATAGAAAGACTAGTATTTTTGAAAAAATTATTATGGCGAAAGAAGGTACATGGTATTGTGCGACTAAGATGTAGGACTTAATGTCAAAAAGCTAGCACTTAGGCTTTAAAATAAGATTTAGCAGTTTGTTCATGTCTTAATATATTTAGAAAATGTAGTTTAGAAAATACTGATATGTGGTGCAGTATACATATAGAGTGCTGTACTTCTTACAAGATGTAATGATTTGCTCTTGATCTTTGTTAGAGAGAGATCTCAGGGCACCAGGTTAAGAGTTAACTAACAGCATTGTCTAGAAAAGAACATATATTAGCTTTCATATTCTAGAGGTTTCTTTTTCAGCTAGTTGTAAATATGCTAATGCATGTAACAATTTAAATGAGCTCAGGGTATTGATAAGGCTATTTTTTGACAGCTCAAATAAATTAATCTCTGAAGTTAATCCATCTAGATATCATGATCCATTCTGATAGAAGCTGACTTTTTGTTAGCACTGTAGGAACTTGAATAAACAGTGTACAAGCATTTGAGCATTAATTTTAAGTTGTTAATCTAAAGGCTTTGTGGTCAATGTATATTAAAAGTTTCAGCTTGAAAATCTTTTGTTCATGACACATTCTGCTTTAACCACTCTTTCTATGATCTACTGATACATTATTTTGTTAATGCTGAATGCTTAACTTTTTTCTTTCTTTTTCCTTTCTCTTCATATCCTGAAGTTCCAACTAACCTTTCAATGCTTTTTTTCCTTACCTCTTTTATTTGCTCCATTTATGCATTAAGTGGTTGCTTAGATTTAAGGTAAGAAACCCCAGGGCTGGATTTCCATTCTTATTATTCTGAGACTATTACACACGGGGAGATGATTAACATGAATGTTACTGATTGTTTAAAACAACACCCGCTCTCCCTCCTGTATATCAGACCTTCTGTTGAATGATTTCATTGCAGATAAACATTTTGTGATATAAATTGATGTATTTATGTAAGGAAGCTAACACAGCTCATTTTAAAAGCTTTGTGGCAAAATACTGACTGCCTTCAACATATCTACCAGATCATTTACAAGGGAGGAATGTTGTGCTAACCTTGTGTAGACAAAAAGATACAGTGAATAGATAGCAGCTGAATATGAGCCTCCCCCTGTGTAATATTCTTTTTATCCTATATACGGTGTAAGTTATGATTTGATTTAGATTAATGTTTCAGTGTGAGATTGTTCAGATAATGGGCTCCAAAGGTGTGTAACAAACTCAAATCTGTATATTATTTTTTAAAGTTGCAGTATCCTTAATTTTTTCAGAAACTGCTAGCACTATTTAAATACTGAGAGGCACTCATACATGGAAATTTTCACAAATTTGGTAGTTATGTAAAATATTTAATAACTCTTAAACAACAAGCTAAGTGATTTATTTAGTTGAATATTAAATGAATACTACATCAAAGAACTCTGAAGTATGTCAAATTCTCAAGCATCTTAAAGAGGTTTAAATGCTAGTAGCCTTAGTGGCTGCAGAAGTAGCAATACAAAGCATTAAAACAATTAGACAAGCAGTTAAATGAAGTTACACGGTACTGTGCTGGAGTTCATAGTACATTAATTAATAGATAGGTTATAGCCTTTATTGAGTATTGTGGTATCATCCTCTTCCTGAAGCGCATCTGGTTTGGGGAAAGAGGGAACAAAAGTTTTTCAGTAGCAGCGCCACAGTTTTAAAGTGGGAACTGTATTTTAGAACATAGAATACTAATATGTAGTATGGGTACATTAATTAAATAAAGTTCCAAGTTGATGTGAAATATTTTTCATGACTAAGTATTTTCCATGACTGGAAAAAGCTGAAAGAAAATCCTGCACATTGCTGAAGAGATTGCCTGTAAAACCATGTATTACTGTAGATACCCCAATGATGTCCCTATGGAATTGGCCAGATGGTACTTTTAGTAAGATATTTAAGTGTATGTTGTGCATCTGATCACAATGGGAAATCTTTAAGAAATGAGAGATTTCTTG